GACCTTTAAACTATACCAGAATTAAAATTTGTGTGGCTGTTTTGGTGTCTTTATCTTGAAAATATATTCAGAGTTTCAAGGGGCTGGGGATTTAGTTAGGGGCCAGGGATTTGGGTCAGTGGTTTCGCCGCCTGCTGTGCAAGTACATGGACCCAAGTTCGATCCCCAGTACCAAAAAAAAAAGTAAGTGAAAATATATTCAGAGTTTCAAAGGGATGTGGCCCAGGCCTCTGTCCTGAGTGCCACTCATCAAACGCAACCACAGAGGCACCTTGGTGGGGACAGAAGTCACCCTCAGAAACCCGAGGGAGGAGCTCACGGAGGTCTCAGGAGGAGCCCAGGGGACGATGACAAGATCTGTCTCCTAGGGCTCCCTTGGTCCCTGTCTTCGGAGCCATTGTCCCCATGCTCAGTGTTTCAAAGGGGTCCCCATACTTCTGGATAAGAGTGACCAAGTGTCCCCTTTGCACTGAGCTGGCAGGTACCCCTGCCAGGGTCCCCATTAACTCATCCAGGGAGAAGTTGTGGCAAGTTATTGAGGTAACACAGCTGAGACCATGACTGGGGCTTGCTGTCCCACCTTTGGGTTTCTGAGAGTGAGCTGAGAGGCAAGAGGCAGGGGTCACGGCAGGCAGGGGTCAGCCACAGCCCATGGGAGGGGACTGAGGGAAGATGGAGGGGAAAGTAAGATTGTGCCCTTAATCCGCTGGTGCCACTGGCACCGACCTCTCTTGTGCTGTCAGCAAGGATAGCTGGGGACCTTCCCAGTATCAGGCACAGAGTGGGTAGCAGGTGACACATGAGTGGCTTCAATGTCCAGGGGCCTCACACCAAGAAATGCACATGGTGGCGGCTATTCACTTAGACCGGACAGTCCCAAGGGTGGTGGGAAGATCCGTATTGTCACAATTGTCTTCATATTCACTGTTACTATTGATTTGGAAGCTGGGAGAGGAAGGCAGAGGACACCATGTCTGCTTGGTTACAGCTCTGTTCTTCCTGCCTAGAACAACTCTTGGCAAATAGAAGATGAGGGCCTTTGGTTACATGCTTAGGCCTTAGGATGGGGTCACCTTCCCGCAGAACTGCTGTCAGCTGAAGATACCTTAAGTCAAAATGCATTTACCAGCCTGGTGTGGCACATGGTTATTTTCATCCTAGCTACTAGGGAAACTGAGGTAGGAAGATGATATGAGCTCAGCTCAGTACTAAAGTACCAGTATAGCAAATAAAATAAAATAAAAATAAAAAGATTCAAAGTAAAATTTCAACTGAATGGGCCGGGCATGTAGCTCAGTGGTTTCGCCGCCTGCTGCGCAAGTGCAAGGACCTGAGTTCAATCCCCGGTACCAAAAAAAAATTAATAAATAATAAAAAAAATTCAACTGAATGTATATTTCTTTTGCACCATTGTAAAGTCAAAAATCATCAGGCAGGAACTCTGGACTTCATATTTACAATGTCATCTGATTCTCAGCCTGAGCCTGTGAGATCCTAACCCCCTGTACATAAGATGGTGGTGAATCTGGGTTTGAGTGCAGGCTCTCTGACTTCAAAACTTCTGTTTTTTTTATCATTGCATTGTAAATGGATGAGCTCTTTTGAAATGGGGCAGATGTGGACCGAATGGGGGAGTCTGAAGCCTTCAGAGGTTGGGGAGCGCTGGACTCAGGACTTGAATGACTAGAAGTCCTGGGAGGGTCTTGGGGGTGTGGGGGAGTCTTTGCTGTCATTTCACTCTTGTTTCTCTGGCAGGACAGAGTAGGGCACCCAAAGTCCCAACCACGTTTTGCGTTACTGTGGACCAATAGGTATGGACCCAATGGCCTGCCACGGCTCTACAGCAAGCGGCCCAGCACACAAGTGGGATGCAGAGGCAGTGAGGGGACACAAAGGGGAAACTGTGTTCAGTTATCTTTGTACACAACTATATTTGGTGTGAAAGCAAAAATGAGGCAATGTGCAGTTGGGACAAATGGCTGAGTGAAGTTTCTTTTTGCCACCCTGTCAATTTGTACATTTTCCCAACTGGGTCTTAAATTGCTTAGATAGTTAGCTGCTTTCTTCCTTTCTGTCTGTACCCATACTTAGAGTTGTAATGGATTCACACTATCATATACATGGCTAATTATACTTATATCTTTATAAGCATTCGGTGACCCCACCCCTAAGACTTTGATTCCTGTATAGGAAAGGAGAGGGGGAGTGGAGAGTTTTTATGGTTTACATCTGGATGTGCCCATGCGGCCTCATGTGTTCAAAGGTGAAGCTTTCGAAAGGTGATTGAATGATGGGAGTGCTATAGCTAAATTTGGCTTTAGAAGGTGGGGCCTGGTCAGAAAACTCAGACCTGTAGGAGTGTGACCTGGAAGGGTTTATGTCCCTTCTGGCTCCTCCCTTCACGCAGTCTGCTTCCTGTCCACCATACCTTGATTGTTCACTACTTCTCCTTGTTTAGAATACACTGAGTTAGTTTTCTGTTCTCTTGGTGGATCCCTTGGGGCTAGAATGTTTCTATGAATGTTCTTATCTGGGTCTCCTTGGGGACTTAATGTTTTCTTTTCTCATGGGTAAATGCCTTGGATTGGAATTGCTGGGATATAAGGGTAAGTGTATGGATAGTTTCGGAAGAAACTGCCAGCTCCTCTTCCCAAAGTAATGCTAACTATTTTATACTCCCTCACTGAGGTACCAGTGTGGTACCCCACATACCTCCCAAAATCTGGGATTGCCAGTATTTTTAATTTTAGCCACCCTGGTAGGTGTGTAGTAATGACTCACTGGGTTTAAATTTGCATTTCCTTGATGATTAAGCATGGTGAGTACTTTTTCATATGGTGACTGGCCATTTGAATATCTTCTTTTGTGACGCATTTGCTCAAATATTTTGCCCCTTTGAGAAACTGGTTGTCTCTGTTGTTATGTTGTAGGAGTTCTTGTCCTTTGTCAGATGTATGATTTATGAATATTTTTTCCCAGTGTGTGGCTCGCCTCTTCATTATCTTAATGATAGCTTGTGATGAGCAGAAGTTTTCAATTGTCCTGAGGTTTACCATGCTTATTGTTTTTTGTGACCAGTTTTGTAAAACCGCCTACCTTCAAGTCACAAACATTCTCTTCTGTTTTCTGCTAGATGTCGTAAGATTACAGCTTTTATGTTTAGATCTATGATTCATTGTAAATCACTTCCGTGAATGGTGTTAGAAAGGCCTCGGTTTGGTTTTTTTTTTTCCCTTGGGAACTCCCACTTATTGTAGCAATGTTTGTCAAAAAACTGTTCCTTCTATTTAATTGTTAGGAAAATTGAATAACCACACAAGTGGCCTCCTGTTTCTGGGGTTTAGTCTATCCATAAATCTGTATGTTGATCCTTGAGCTAGTACCACACTTCTGGATTAACCTATTTTTATAGTAAGTCTTAAAACCAGGTAACATGAATACTCCAAATTAGCTATTTTTCAAAAAATTTTTATGTATCTTGGGTTTTTTTTTTTTTTTTTGGTACCCTCCCAAATGGTACTATTAACTAGTTTATTTGTGCATTTTATTTTTTTTTTTTTTTTTTTTTGGTACCAGGGATCGAACTTGGGACCTTGTGCTTTCGAAGCAGGCAGTGGCACTACTGAGGTAAATCCCTGCCCCTAGGTTTTTTTTTTTTTTTAATTAAAAGAGCTTGTCAATTTAAAATTTTCTCTTTGAAAACTTTTTTTTTGAGACAGGGTCTTGCTATGTAGTTAAGGCTGGCCTTGAATTCACTATGTATTCCAGGCTAGCCTCAAACTCTCAGCAATCCTCCTACCTTAGCCTCCCGAATGCTGGGATTACAGGCATGTGCCACCATGCCTGGCTCTTTGGAAACTTTTGGGGAGAATTTCCATTTATTTAAATATCTTTAATTTCTCTCAACAATTTTTTATACTTATCAGTATAGAGGTCTTGCATTCTTTGGCTAAATTTATTTCTTTTTTTTTGTTAAATTTATTTCTATTTTATTTTTTTACACAATTATGAGTTAAACTTCTAGTTTAGTTCAGTTGTTTGCTGCTAGTAGAAACCTAACAGTTTTTATGGATTGTTTAGGATTTTGTTTTTTGGGTTTTTTAAGACAAGGTCTTGCTATGTAGGCCAGGCCATCCTTGAACTCACAATCTTGCCTTAGCCTCCTGAGTGCTGGCATTTTAGGCCTGCACTACCATGCCTGGTTTGAATTTTTTCTTATTTCTTTTTTTTTTGGTACCTGGGATTGAACATGGGACCCTGAGCTTTTGAGGCAGGCAGTGGAACCACTGAGCTAAATCCCCGGCCCCTTGAATTTTTTCTTTTAATGAATAATTGTGTCATATGCAAATATGTCATATGGTTGTACTTCTTCCTTTGTAAACTCTAAAAAGTTTTACTTCTTCATCAACGGGTGTGCCAGTGCATGACTGTAATCCTAGCCCTCAGGAGGCTGAAGCAGGAAGATCACTCTGAGTTTGAGGACAGCCTGGGCCATATAATGAGGCCAAGGCCAGCCTGAACTACAGTGAGACCCAACAACAGCAAAACTTTTTCTTTTTCCTTTTATTCTTTTTGCCTATGACAAAGGCTAGGACTTCCAGTACAATGTAAAGTAGAGATGGTTACAGTGGATAACATTGCCTTGATCCTCACTTTCCAGGGCACATTCAATATTTCACTATTGAGTATAGCTACGGATGTTTGGGTACATGGAAATTCCTAAGAAAATGTCCAGTTCATCTACATTGTTGAATTGTGGAGGAGAGGAGTAAAGTTGCTTTTGTCAAGGACCAGAGGGGAATTAAGGCCTAATTGGCCTCCTCTGTGAGCACAAAGGAGAAAGGCTGCCCTCAGGGTTGACTGCATACTGGGGAAAAATTAAGACAGCTGAGGTTAAGTTGTTTACCAGAGCATGAACTAATGGATACTGGAAAGCAGCTGAATCTTGTGTTACCTTGATTGCTTGCATCCGTGTTTGGGTGAGCTGGGTAAAAGTGAGGTGAGCCATAAGGCTTGGGTCTCCTCTGCCTGCTAGAAGATGAGCCCCCTGGCTGCCCACATGTTGAGCTGACTCCGTGTCTCTGTCATTCATTTTCGTTTGTCCGGGGTCAGGGAGGAACAAAGTACCTGGTCTAGGTCCCGGAGCAAGGCCCACCTGGTGGCGCCCCAGTGCGGGGCCGGGGACCCAGGGTTGCCTACAGTTCACACTACTTATTCTCCTTTTAATATCCACGTGATCTGTAAATCCTCCCTGTTATAGGTAATCCGTATCCTGGATTCTGGGGGATTATTTAAAGCAGTGGTGGTGAGTGGATGGCACATGTGCCACAGCGGACACGCAGAGCCCTCTCTGTCGGTACGTGAGCCAAGTGTATGAGTTTTTCTTTCTAAACTAAAAACTCAATATTCAGGTTTAATTGTAGTGTTGGAACTTTGTGATAAATAAATGGATTTTGGGTTGCATTTTGGGCACTTGGTCTCTAAAAGTTTCGCCATCACAGATATAGAGAATTAGCAAATTCTGTTGCCTTTTGCTTTATTCATTTTATTCATTACATTGTTTTCTCTCTTGTTGATCTCTGCTCTCACTTTTATTGTTTCCTTCCCCGTATTTATGGTTTATATTGATCTTTCTCTAGTTTATTATTATTAATTTTTGGTACCGGGGATCGAACTCAGGACCTTGCACTCGCATGGCAGGCGCCGGAACCACTGAGCTAAATCCTCAGCCCTCTCTAGTTTTTTAAAGTGGAAACTTAGGTGTTGAGGTTAGACCATTCTTTTCTAATAAAAGTATTTATTTATTTATTTATTTATTTTATTTTGGGAGATATCAGGAATTGAACTCAGGGTCTCACACTTGCCAGGCTGATGCTGCACAGCTGAGCTACATTCCTGGTCCCAATAAAAGCATTTAAAGCTGTACATTTTTCTCTACTTAAGTCTTTCAGTATATCTCACAATTTTGGATGTATTAGGTTTCATCATTATTCAATTTAAAATATTTTCTCTTTGTTTTCTTTGATTCAGTTATAAAATAGAAAAGTATTGTTTAATTTCCAAATATTTGGTGCTTTCCTAAGTATCTTATTATTAATTTCTAATTTAATTCCATTGCTAAAGAACATAATTTGTATCGTTTAATACTTTTCATTTTGTTGAGACTTGCTTTATGACCAGAATATGATCTATCTTGGTATATATACATGCCATGTGTAATTGAAAAGAATTGTATTCTTTCGCTGTTAGATGTTATGTTCCATAACTATCAGTTGGATCAAGGTAGTTGATGTTGTTCAGATCCTCTGTGTTCTTACTGAGGTTCTTTTTCTTTTGTTTTGTTTGCTGTAGTTTTGCTCTCAATTGATAATAGAATATTAAGATCATGGAATCATACTGTTCTTTTTTAATTTTCTCAACTTGCTTTATGTATTTTTAAAGCTTTTTAAATAGGTGTATATGTATCAAGTCTTTCTGATGAATTGAGACTTATGAAATGTCCCTCTTTATCTGTGGCAATACTTATAATCTTGAAGTCTGTTTTTTCTAATATTAATACAGTCACTACATTTATGCTTACCAATTATGTGGTTTATTATTTTTCATTTAATTACTTTCAATCTGATCATTTACATATTTAAATATGTCATATAGAAAACATATTTGGGACCTGGCTCTTATAATTTGTTCAGAAATTTCTGCCTTTAAGTTGTAGTGTTTAATCCATTAAAATGTAATGTAATTATTGCAGGGTTATACAAGGTTGAATTAAGGACATCCATGTTTTCTGTTTGTTGCCTTTATTTTTTGCTTCTCTTTTCTTCCTTTCCTGCCTTCTTTTGGATTGTTTGAATATTTTTAAAAATTCCAATGTAACTTATGAATTGGCTTTATAGTTATAATCGTTTACGTTTTTAACTTACTAGATATTACAATTATAGATCCTTAGGGATATGTAATTTATTAAAATTCTTATTTTTTCTGTTCTTCAAACTGGATAATTTATACCGATCCATATTCAAGGTTATTGACTCATCCTGTCTAGTTTGCCTTTAAATTCATTCAGTGTATTTTCATTTCAGATGTTGTATTTTTCACTTTCCCATATTTCCTTTTCATGGTTTTTAGTTATTTACAAAGAATTTCCATCTTTTCACTCATTACAAGTCTTCATTATGAACTTTTTCATTACCTTATTGAGATAATAGCTGTCTTAAAATCTTTTTGTGCTAATTCCAATTTCTGGGTTATCTTAGGGTTGATTTTTGCTTCTTGTTTTTTCTTTTGAGATTGGTTTTCATGTTCCTACTCTTGCTATTCCAGGAATTTGGGACATTTTGTAGCTTGGACAATGTGAATATTATATCCTGGAAACTTTGAATTCTGTTGTATATTTCTTCAAATATATTCTAGAAGAAACCATTTGATATTTTTCCCAAAGTGGTTGTAAATACTTTACACTCCCCATTTATAGGGAATTAGCATTCTGCTTATTTACCAGCCAGCTTTGGGCAATAGGGTAAATCTCTATTTTATTATTATTAGACTTTTAGGTTATCTTCTTGCAGTCTGCTCTGAAAATGCATGGGTCAGGGTTCAGCAAGAGAGTTGGGCAGAGTTCATAGTCAGGGTTCTGGGCTCCCTTTTCCAGCTACTTTCCTTGATGCTTTTTCCTTTTCCAGCAAGTGTGGTTTCTCCAAACTGTCATCCATCTCTTCAGGCCACAAGATGGGCAGGGGCTTTCCTTCTGATTTTTAGCTGCTCCATATGTGACCTTGCCTGGCCTGCTCTCGGGATACCAGCCTTGAAGATGGGAAATCCCTGTCATGGTGCCTTTCCCAAACTCTGATGTCTTTCCTGATCTCTCTTTTGTTTCTTCTGCAGTATGTTCTGTCTGGCGTTCACAGTGGACAACTGGGAGTTCACAGTGGATAACTGCATGAGGATCCATCTTTCAGGATTCTCCTTCACCATTTGGGTGCCACTTCCCACTCCATGTCACCTAGACACCTGGTCACCCACCTAGAGATGTCATTTTCCAGGTATGCTCATATGCCTGGGTTCTTGCCAATGCAAGGTAGGAGAAGTATGTGTAACTTGCGGGGAGGCACATTCTTAAAAGGAACTTTCTTGCTCTATTTTTCTTTTTTCTCCTCTTGTGGCCTTTGGCCATAAAGATGCAAGTGAAACCATCTTGGGATTGCAGAGTGCATGTGAAGGAGCCATAGACTCCTGGAGTGTCCCAGAGCAGCCAGCTACCTAGTGTGGACACTGGCCCACATCTTGGTTGCTGAGAAATTCCTGTCTTTCAGCCTCTAATTTGTATTTGTTTAAGCAGCTTAGCATATAATAAAAATCTTCAGGAGTTGCTATCTTCAGGATCCCCATAACTAACTGTAGAATAAAGATCAATTATCTAGTTATGTAGTCAATGTCAAGTACTAGTTTGACCTAATTTTCACTTTTATTTCCTACTATTTAAAAAAATTGAGGTATAATTAAGAATATAATACACAGATTTAAATTGTTTGAACTCCGGTCCTTCTGCTTGCACAGCAGGCGGTGAACCCACTGAGCTAACTCCCCTGCCCCTTTAAGCAGTTTTTATTAGTACATGTTTACAGTACACAATGATTACATTCATCATGAGTTGGTGCATGAACACAAAACATTTTAATTAACTTTGACTACTCCATGCACCCATGTGTAGAGGAAGAGAATCTTTTCTTCCATTCATCTTAGGCTCCTGGTTAAGGCACCAATAATAAAAGACAGATTAATAAAAGTATGCGTAGATAATTTAAGTTTTATGTGATATGGGAGCCTTCATTAAGAAATGAAGACCCAAAGAAAACCCAAGATAGGGCTGGAGATTTAGCTCAGTGGTACCACGCCTGCCTAGCAAGTACAAAGTCCTGAGTTCAATTCCTGGTACAGGGTGGGGTGGGTGGGTGGGGCGGGATGTTTTATGCTAGGTTGGATGAAGAGTGAATAGTTGTGGGAAAATAATAGGGCAAAAAATATGAGCTGATGGCAATAAAGTGAGGCGGGTGGTCCTTAGCAAGCCCTGTTCAGATTCTGCTCGGGTTTCCTGTGTCTTTAGAAATAAGCATGCACCTTTCTTGTGGGTCGAAGGATGACCTTTCATATCAGGGATTTCCTCTGCTTGAGTGGAGATGAGAAAATCTTTCCAAGATCTTATGATTTGCTTCAGAATTAAGACTACACATGCTCTTCCTTGGATTCCTTCAGATTCAGATGTTTACTATGCTGAGATGCTATATTTTGGGCCAAGGATTTAGCTCAGTAGTTTTGCCGCCTGCTGCGCAAGCGCAAGGACCCGAGTTCAATCCCTGGTACAAAAAAAAAAAAAAAAAAAGATGCTATATTTTGGTGCAGATTGTTTGAATCCCATCACATAGAACCACTAATATTTCTCTAATTCCAGAAATTATCCCTCTTGCTCATTTCAGTCAGTAACCATTTTCTCATTTCTGTCATTTGCCTTCTCTAGGCCATCACATAGATAGCATCATAGAATGTAGTAGTGTTTTGTGATTGATTATTTTGCTTAACACAATGGTTTAAAATTTCATCTGTGTTCTTATATGTATCAATGGCCTTTTTTTTTTTTTGGTACTGGGGATCAAACTTGGGATCTTGCACTTTTGAGGCAGGTGGTGGAAACACTGAGCTAAATACTCGGCACTGTTCTTTTTATTTTTTTTTTTTAACTGATGAATAGTATTTCATTTTGGGGTTTTTTTTTTTTTTTTGGTATGGGGGATCGAACTCAGGACTTTGTGCCTGCAAGGCAGGCGGCGGCACCACTGAGCTAAATCCCCAGCCCAATGTTCCATTATATTAATGTACAGCAATTTTGGTTTATCTGTGTACCTGTTGAGTTGATTTCTGCTTTTTGCCTATTGTGGTTTAAGCTGCTATAAAGATTCTCATAAAAGTCTTTTTATATATATGTATACAGATGCTCCTCAACTTACAATGGTGTTATGTCCTGAAACCCATTGTAAAGTTAAATATCATAACTTGAAAGTACATTAGTTTTCTCTTTGTTAAATGTCTATTCTTTGTCCAAGCTTTTAAAATTATTTTCATTGCTTAGCTGGGTGTGGTGGTGCACACCTATAATCCCAGCACTCCGGAGGCTGAGATTGCCATGAGTTTGAGGCCAGCCTAGACTACACAGTAAGTTCAGGGTCAACTACATACCAAGAAAAAAAAAAACCCAATAAAAAATTGTTTCATTGCTGATTTGTATTTACACATAACATTAAATTTCCTTTTTGTATTTATTTGTAACATATATGACAGATGGGCCGGGGATTTAGCTCAGTGGTTCCAGCGCCTGCCTCACAAGTGCAAGGTCCCGAGTTCAATCCCCGGTACCCAAAAAAAAACAACACACACATATATGACAGAGTTCAGGACACTACTCCAAAATAAGGCACCTTGGCATTTGAGAAAACAGCAGAAGCAGGAAAATCACTTTAACCTCCTCCTGCCATCTTCCTTAGTTCTCTGACCTTCCTCTAAAGTGGGCTGTAAGACCCTCATTCCAGTTGGGTCCTCCTTATACCCAGAGCAAAGCAATGAAGACACAAACAGACCTCCCTAAACTGCCCCTAATCTGTCACCCTTAGACTCCAATCTCTCTTGTCCATTTATACACAACTGTCTCTTCATCAAATTTAAGCATAAAATCAATTTTCCCTGTTTCCTTAGGTCTTCATTTCTGAATGCTCCCATATCATGTTAGACTTCTATTAAATCAATTAAGCTTTTCCTAATCTGTCTTTTGCTATAGGGGTGTTGGTCATGAACTTGGTGTAATACATAAGGAAAAGGTATTTTTGTCTATTATCTATAAATACATTTATATTTATCCATTATAGATGTCCTTTTGTTAGAGGCCTCCTACTGATTTTTTATCAAGTTGACCTGAGGAGCTATGGTTCTACTTTTGTTAGCAGGCATATTATATCTTCTCAGCCTTGCCAATGGATATGTTCAGTTTTCCAGAGTAATGGTGAACACACACATTTTGTGTGGTGCCTCGCTCCCCACAAATGTGAATTCCATCCACATGGGGATGCACAGTTCTTAGTCACACCTTCAAAAATGACCTTCTTAGCTTCTTATCCTAAATACATTATTCCCTTCATTTTCTTTCTTCTTGTCTTTTGTTTTGATTCCATTTTAATGAAAAATAATGTGTATGTTTATGGGGTGCATCTCTGACATACTGATTTCAATTCCTTCAATACATTGTGGGATGATCCAACCAACTAATTATTTGTGTGTTCATTTTTGGGACCTCTATACTACTCCATTGGTCAATATGTCTGTATTTATGCCAGTTACCATGCTGTTTTGAGTACTGAGTCTTTTTAGTATATTTTGAAATCTAATACCATGATGCACCTTGCTTTGTTCTGCTTGGTCAAGATTATGCTTTGGTTAGTTGGAGTCTTCTGTGATTCCATACAAATTTTAGGATTTTTTTCCTATTTCTATGAAAAATGACATTGGAATTTCTATAGGATTGCATTAAATTTATAGAATGATTTGGGTAGTATGAATATTTTAATGATAGTGACTCTTCCAACCCATGAGCATGGGTTATTTTTCCATTTATTTGTGTCGTCTTCAATTTCTTTCATCAGTATTTTATGGTTTTCAGTATATGGGTTGTTCATGTCTTTGGTTAAGTTTACTTCCATATATTTTTATGTTATCTTAAAGGACATTGTTAATTTTTTTTTCAGACAGCTTGTTATTAGTGTATGGAAATGCTACTGATTTTTATAAGTTGATTTTGTGTCCTGCAGCTTTGCTGAGGTTATCAGTTCAAAGAGGTTTTTTTGTGAACTCTTTAGAATTTTCTACGTGTAAGATCATGTCACCAGAAGAGACAATTTCACTTTTTTTCCCTATTTGAATGACTTTATTTCTTTCTCTTGGCTAGAATTTTCAGTATTGTGTTGAACAGAAATGTTGTGAGTATAGACATCTTTGCCTTGTTCCTGATGTTAAAAGAAGAACCTTCAACTTTTCAGTGTGGACTATGATGTTAGCTGTGAACTTGGCATATATATTCTTTATTGTACTGAGAAATATTCTTTCTAAACCTAATTTGTTTAGAGTTTTTATCATGAATTGATGTTGAATTTGTCAAATACTTTATCTGTATCTATGATCATATGGCTTTTTGTCCTTCATTCAGTTGATATGGTAAATCACATTTATTGATTTGCATATGTTGAACCAATCTTGCATCCCAGGGATAAATCCCACTTTATCATGGTGGATGATCATTTTAATGTACTGTTGAATATGGTTTGCAGTATTTTTTTTAGAAATTTTGCATTTACGTTCATTAGGAATATTGACACATAGCTTGATTTTCTTGTGTCTTTGCTTGGCCTCGCAAAGTGAGTTTGAAAGTATTCTCACCTCTCCAATATTTTGGAACAGTTTGAGGAGGATTTGTTTCCTACTTTAAGTGACTGATAGAATTCAGCTGTGAAGCCATCTGGTCATAGGCTTTTCTTTGATAGGAGAATCTTAATTACTGATTTAATCTCCTTAGTTGTTACTGGTCTGTTCAGATTCCTACAGTGGACCCTGAAGTTACAACCAGCCTGACATACAAACTTGGGTTAATTAGGTTAATGGAAGATTCATCTGCCTCTTGTTATCTGTAGCATGTACCCAGGTAAACATCCAGATCTTAGCTGTATTGACTTACAACTAACTTGAGTTACAAACAGCCCTCAGAACTGATTGAGTTCATAAGTCAAGGGTCCATTGTGATTTCTTGGTGATTCAATCTTGGTAGTGTATGCTCCTAGGAATTTGTTTTTTTAAAAGGTTGTCCAATTTATTTTCATATAATTGTTCATAGTAGTCTCCTATGATCTTTTATGTTTCTGTGTCTTCAGAGTGTTTCTTTCATTTTGGTTTTTGAGTTTTTTTTCTTGGTTTCTCAATTTGTTTAGCTTTTCAAAATACCACTTATATC